CCCCCCCCCCCCCCCCTCCGCTTTACACATGAACAGATGAATGTTCTGCTATACAGCAGACGGGAAGAGATAAAAAACCCCCACAAATAGACAGGATTCTCAGAGAACAGTGGAAGTTGCCAGATCAATGAAGGATGAGATGATGTGATAGGTTCATGAAAAATATGAAAAAAGACAACCTCCATCAATGGCTCTTATGTTGGAGGTTTGGTTGTTAGATGCTTATTTTTGCTTGGACAGTCTTTTTATAAACAGCCGAAAAAATAAGAGGGATCTCTTAATAGAATATGAAGGAAGATTACAAAATACTCAATTAAAAAAAAAAAAAAAAGGGGAAAAAAGAAACATTTCAGATATTCTGCAACTAGTCTCTGAATATACGAAGAATAGCATCTAGAATCCTCTGTCAGTTGGGTTTAGATCAACAATGCCCTTGACTGACAGTAAGATTACCTTTTGCTGAAACAGTCTTTGGCAATATACAAGCATGGAAATGTCATTCACGTCCATCAAGCTCCTGAAGTATATTCATGGACTGTTTAAAGATGTTAATGCACAGACGTGTAATTTATTAACTGCGGAAACAGGAAATGAAGAGGGACGCCACTCAAACGCTATTCAGCTGTCAATTCTCCATCGGGCTCAGTCATAACACAATGTTGTCCTGTGCTACAATGACAATAGAGCAGCATCTCCATGGAGATACAGCTTGATTCTGATGTGTGTGATGCTTGCCTGTGCAAATATTGTTGGCGTGGTGCTAAGGTGTTCTGTGTGGTTGCTAGGTTGTTAGTAAATGCCCCAACCAGTTGTTCCCTAGATATTCTGAGTTATGCGTCAATGTTTAATACTAAGGTTGTGAGATTTAGACAAATCTCTGACCCTGTGTACTGCATGATTTTAGCAAACAGCACTAATGTTATGCTTTATCCCAGCATCTGCAGGTTGTGTGCAGGCATAACGCCAGCAGCCATAAGCACCCCAGAGTAGATGAGAATTTGTCTGTTGGAACAGGATAGACTTATGGGGATATTTGTTTAATAGCTATTTGAAGCAACCAAGAAAAATCTCAGCAGGCGATATTTTTAGGGAAGATTATGGAATTACAACCTCGAACTGAAGTTGTCTAAGAATATTCTGTTCTGACTTGCTTGAGCAGATATTACAAGGATTCACAGAAGCCGACAGACAAAAATAAATAAATATGAGAATGGTATTATATCTAATATATCTTGAATATAGTCATGGATCAAGTAAAAAGTTGCTTTAAGGCAGGGATGGACTGAATTTGCCCAACCCTGCTTCAAGGACAACATAAAGGACAACAACAAAAAATTCACAATATCAAAAGACTTGTTGTTTTTAAACTGTTACCATAAACAAATTAACGACAAAAATATTAAAATAACTTTTATATTTTAATACATTTAAAAATGTAATTTATTCATGTGATGGCAAAGCTGAATTTTCAACATGACTCATGGTGCTCAGGGAACATTTCTTCTTATTATCAGTGTTGAAATCAGTTCTTGCTGCTTAATATTTTTTTACACTACCATTCAAAAGATTTTTTTTTTTTTAAATAAATCAATACTTCTACTCCGTAAGGACAAATACAATTGATCAAAATTGACAGTAAAGACATCTATAATGTTACAAAAGATTTCCATTTCAAATAAATGCTGTTATTTTGAATTTTCTATTCAAAAAATAATTCTGAAAAAAAAAAACTACCCATATTTCCACAAAAATATTAAGTGCCAAAATTGTTTTCAACATTGATAGTAAAAACAAAACAAACTTATCAATAATAATTGATCATTCTTTTTTATTAATTATTATTACATATTTTTTAAAGATTTCTGAAAGAGTAATGGCTGCTGAAAATTAATGTTTCTTTTGTGCTTTTCAGTAGGGGTGGGAATCACCGGAGGCCTCACGATATGATATTATCACGGTACTTGTGTCACGATACAATATTATTGCGATTTTAAATATATTGCGATATTCTGCGATATATTGCAATTTATTACCTTTTTCCAACTTCTAATAATGTCCCCAAAGGAAAACTTTGGCAACATCTGTTTTAACTAAAAAGAAACATTTCTCAGTTTTATCTCACTTCAGTTTTATTGTTGCAGTGCAAAATGGGATTGTCAAGCAAAATGCTTTGTATTGATTATTTATTATTTTATTAAATAAAAAAAAAAAAAAAAAAACAAAAGCCAATAAAATAACCACACTTTTACTGAAAGTAACACAATGAAACTGGACAGAATTTATATTAATATTGGTAACACTTTACAATAAGGTTCATTAGTCAACTACTAATCAACTACTTTAGTTAACGAACTAAGAATGAACAAAAGTTCTTCAGCATTTATTAATCTTAGTTCATGTTGATTTCAACATTTACTAATTTATTATTGTATGTAGCCTATATTTTCGGCTCGCATTTTCGGCCGTTTTTCTCTTTCGGATGCCAAAAATTCGGTGCATCCCTACTTACATCCCCTCCTTGTTTAGAAATCCGAAGTAAGTCCATACATCCGATTTAAACGCGGACGGGGCTTTCCTGATAACTTGCCGCGATGCCGCCATCTTCATTTTACTAACTTACAAACTGCATTGTCAGAATTCTGACTTTATATCTCGCAATTCTGACTTTATAACTCGCAATTGCGAGTTTATATCTCACAATTCTGTGAAAAAAGTCCGAATTGTGAGATAAAAAGTCGCAATTACCTTTTTTTATTTTTTATTCAGTGGCGGAAACGGGCTTCCATATGAAGGTGATCCAGCTGACCTCACCAGAAAAAACTCAACACCACCATCTAGTGGATTGTAAAGAAATAAATTTTATTATTCTACCAAATAGTATAATAAAAGATCGATACTTGGCGTCTGTGTATCGATACAGTATTGCCGCGGAAAATATCGCGATACTATACTGTATCGATTTCTCCCCCCACCCCTACTTTTCAGTGTTATTGGGCTTGTGAATAGACCCACACTGTTTTACGAACTCAAGAACAAAGAAAAGAACAGAATAAACAACAACCAGAGACAAACGAGAAAACACGCAAACAATCTGCACAATAATACAAAGCACAATCAACAAATAGCTGTCTTCTAAACAGACAGAAATGCAATCAAAAACAGAAGAGAAAAAAAGAGTGGAAAAGAGGGGGAAAAGTGTTCACAGCGCTGTCAAACTATAGAATGTGTAGGAGTCGATCTCGCACCATCACATGTTGAAGGAGATGTGAAGTCAAACTCAGTGAGCACTTTACAGTCATAATAACACAGCTTGCTGTGTGGGAGTAGAGAGTGGCCATCACTGCAAGAGCGATACGCCGGGTAAACCTGGATGTGTAGATTCAGAGAAAGAGAGACAGAGACGGAGATAGAGAGAAGGATTCCTGGGAGGGTTTTATTTCACTCAGCTCAGGCAGGCTGAGAGCGACCTCTCTCTTGCACTTCTCTTTCAAGTCCCACT